CGCACGCACAAAATTCTGGACAGGAAATTACACTTGATTTTACTTCCTTTATATGTTGTCTGTGTCTTCGAATTACTTGGATAGGAAATTGATTACTTTTACAATCAGAATATGAAATAAAACTGTAAAAATGAGAATCGACCTAACTATCTTTTGGATGTGACAAAGAATTGTTTTTGTTTATGTGTGTAGTAAATATGAGGCAGACATATGATTGAGCTTTTACCTTCAAAATTTTGCAGCTTAATTAACCTTGAAATGGCTTTAGAACAGCATTTCATGAAAACTACGTTACTTTACCTCTAGCTACCCATTGGTAGTAATAGCCAAGGTGATGAGATTTGTCTGTTTCTAGGCTGGTGTGATGTCTCGTAGCTGTGAGCACACCTGCCTTCTGGTTGGTTGAATTCAGAGATACTGTGTCTTAGGCCAGTGAGTAAGAACTCACAACAGAAAGGGATGGATATGACTTAAATATGTGAATGCTGGCAAATAACATCCTAACGCCGGGAACTGCGTCAGAAGCCGTTGCCTCTCCTAGGGCTTAGGTCAGACTTAACACGCCCTTTCTTTTCCCATAGGTCTTCTATCTTTCGGGGTAAAAGAGTCTGCTTGGGTGAACAAAATCTTCACAGCTGTCAACATCCTGGTCCTTCTCTTTGTTATGATTGCTGGGTTTGTGAAAGGAAACGTGGCCAACTGGAAGATTAGTGAAGAATTTCTCAAGAATATATCAGCAACTGCCAGGTAAAGTATTGGGGTTTTTTCCTCCTCTTGTTCTCTTTTTCTTGGGTGTTGTTGTTTTTTTAATTTACTCACGTGTGTCTTATTTATGTTACCTTTTTTCTAGAACAATGGTTCTAGAAGCTTTTTGCTCTGGAGACCTTTCTGAGGGTCTGTTCTATTCCAAGACTCTTCCTCCTGCTCACTCCTCACTCCCACCCCCACCCCTGCCCGCCCTGCCCTGCAGACATGAATGCATAGGTGTGCTCACCATTGAGCTGCTATGGAAGCCCTGCAGCTGCTCGTTCTCACGCTCTGCTCCAGGTTGAGGGGAGGGAAAGGGAGACTCTAACCCCTGGGAGAATGCTTTTATTTTCTCCCAAAGGTTTGCTGCCTCTGCACAACAAGGAGTATTTTTGAATCATTCATCCTTCATCCTTTAGTTTGCCTGTTGGGACCACCATTCGGTTTCCTTGCATCTTTCCAGCCTTGTAGTGAATGTCAGGCCTTGTTTTATGGAGAACGTTATTAGTTGCATAAGCAGACTTGCCCTTGCATTTCACTTTAAACTAGATATTCTCAAAAATTAAGTAAATAATAATATAGAAAAGGTTTTATTCTGAGGTGTATTTAATCACAATTCTCACTTGTGCATGTAAAATAAGATTACAAAAGTATCGATTATATGGAGTGCGGTATACCTACCTGTGTTTCTTTACATGAGTTGTTAGTAGTCGCTCTGATGAAGCAAAAAAATTACATCCTCTGGTTTTATACAGTTTTTAACATGCAAGGACATGTTCAACTTTAGTATTGTTAATCAAGCCGAGAGAATTCTATGTCACCTTTTCAGATGTCTTTGTAGTGAATTTCTCACTGCTGCCCAATTGTCCATAAGAAGAGGAAGTGTCCTGACTTTATTTCAGATCAGGGTCTCTAGACAGAGTCTCTGCTCTCAAGGTCCTGCTTGGCTATGAGTTCCAGCCAGAGGGAGGCTGGGCCTCGGCTCCTGCTGTCAGTCAGTCAGCCTCTGACCAAGATCAGTGTTGGTACCCCCGAGGGAATGCTGTTGTTGGGGGCACCGCTGCGTTCTCTAGGACAGAGTCAGAGAATCAGGGTTTGCTCTTAGTGTATCAGCTTCAGAGCTGATGAGCACACAGCCTCCTGAGGAGGCCGGTTCAGACACATCACCAGAAGCAGTGTCCTATGAAAATGACTTTGCGATGTCTGTTCTTTCCCTTAGAGAGCCGCCCGCTGAAAATGGAACAAGTCTCTACGGGGCCGGTGGCTTCATGCCGTACGGCATTGCGGGAACGTTGGCCGGGGCTGCAACCTGCTTTTATGCCTTTGTGGGATTTGACTGCATTGCAACAACTGGTAAGAGCAGAGTCCTGGCTCCAGGTAGAAGGGAGGGGGGCTCTTTGTACCGCATGAGTGCCCATGGGTGGCAGCAGAGGGTCCAGGAAAGAGAATGGGATTTGGACCGGGTTCCAGACCCACTTGTGACGCCTGCTGTATGTGACAAAAAGAAACTGAAACAACCTGAGCCTTGGTGTCCATGTTGGTAAAATTGGGAGAGTGGTGCCTACCCCTCAGATGTTATGCGGGTTACCTAAGATACATATATCCTTTGAGAGAATACATATAAAAACAGTTTGCAAGCTGTCCAATACTTTATAGATGTTAGTCATAATTCCTATCCTCAACCTACTATCTGGACGTGCTATCACAGTGAGTAACCAATGATAATCACACTCTTAAATGATCTCTTCTCTATTAGGACAATATATTGTGATCACTCTGTCCTCTTTACCTTAAACAAGGATATCATCAGGCCAGAATCACTCTCCAAGTGTCTACTCTGGGTTCATATTTTTTGCCTGGCTTATCACCTATCGTGCTTTGGATGCTTCAAATGCCAAGTCTTATTAGAAGGACCCAAAGTGTTCTATTTTCTATTGAAACTAGAGTTTACTATAAAGTAGGTGGATGGGGTAGAAGTTTATCTGAGGCCTTCATATTTAAGGGCCTACAGAATAACAGGACAGGTGTTTAATCTCTGTGGGTGAATTGTTTCAAAATGGATTCAGACTGCCTTCCTACCACTAACCATTTAATAGTGTTGGTATACCCAGTTTTTTCTTTCTGGAATTGGACTTTTATGTGATAGCCGAGTATCCTCAAGAGGAGAGAGAATTTCGTGTAGAATAGGCGGGTCAAGCTAAGAACACGGAAGGGAAAAAAGCAGAATAGAATGGCCATGGAGGAGGAGGAAAATGCTTGGCTTACCTATTCACGTTTTATTCAACGCTCGAACCTTTTATGTTTCCTTAGGTGAAGAGGTCCGGAACCCTCAGAAAGCTATTCCTATCGGAATTGTGACCTCTCTGCTTGTTTGCTTCATGGCCTATTTTGGGGTCTCTGCAGCTTTAACACTTATGATGCCTTACTACCTCCTCGATGAAAAGAGCCCCCTTCCTGTAGCATTTGAGTACGTCGGATGGGGTCCCGCCAAATACGTCGTGGCTGCGGGCTCCCTCTGTGCGCTGTCAGCAAGGTACATTGCATTGCCCCCGGGGCGGGGGCTGTTTGGGTTTCTGCAAAGTGCAGTCCATGTTTAAGAATTCCTTTTGTGTATTTCTAAAATAATCCTGATTTCAGAAACATATGATGCAGCTATGTCTTCTCTGAATAGTTTGCCCAGAACTGCTATCTTTATCTTAAGTGATAAAGTCTTTTTCCCCCATCAGTCAAGAGTCAGTTTCTCAAGATAATGCTGGCCCAAGCTTCAGCAGAAATACAATACAGGATTGAGAGAGGCATCCACATGCATATACATATGTGTCACACGTATTCATATATGTGCGTATTATCAAACTTTAGGGTGCTTACACTAGTATGTTTCCATGCTGGCCCAGACAATTGAAACCCTAGGTGCAGACTTGACATTGTCTTTTAAAGTAACCTCAAGTCCATGGGCGTGGAAGCCGTACGCTGCGTCATTGTTAAATGTAATGTGCTTTTTATTGGGAAACACTGAGACTTTTCCACGTAGCATTGATCAAAGTGGACTTGGTCTGGAGAAAGAAATGACCCTTCTCAAATTCATGGTGGAAATTTGTGTAACATCTATGCGAAAATGAAAGGGTAGTTGAATCTCAAGTGTTTGGATTTTCAGTAGCCGCTTGTTTTAACACTTCTGAATTCATTTCCCAGGTTTCCTGACTACTCATATTTTAAATTGTGATCATAAGATACTTCATTCTAGTTTTATACTATGCTGTATAGTAGAGCATTCTTACACAGAGAAAATTTATCTCTGCCTGATTACTAATTTTTTAAAGTAAAAATAAAGTTTGATATTGAATGAAGAAATATTTCATATAATTTATCAGCCTAGCCTTTTTCCCCTCAAATCTATTTTATTTTCTATTCAAGATAATATGAAGTAGCAATTAGAAATTACTCCCATTGGTTTCTTAGCCATCTGCTAACAATAAGGTTTATTCTGAATAGTTTCAAAAATCTGAACTGTGATGATATCTTGCCAACCAGTCTTGGAAGAGACGGACCCAGATTCACTGTGGCCAACTTCAACCCAGCTTTATTAAAAATAAAGAAGATGGATTTTTTAAAAGAAAACATTTTACTCATTTTCTCTTAAATGGTTCTTTCTCAAAACCAAGCCATATATGGAATGGTGTAGCCAGTAAACATACAGGTTTTTCTGAAGTATCTAAAGTTTTCTTAAACTTTTAATCATGGCTATATCTATGCACTAATTTTACAGTCTTGATTATCTTGTAATCCTGGGAATTATTACTAATTTGATCAAAGATCAGGCTATATGAGGAAAAATAATGGTAAGATAAATATATAATTATTCAATAAATGAAGGGGCTATTCTATGAATCAAATTACTTAATCTCTTTTTAAAACGACATGTCAATTTAGGAATTTTATTTCCCGAGTTATTGCCATTAAAAATGTCTTAATGATATGATTGCTTTGTTTTTCTTGCTAAGTCTTAATTTTCAGTTTTAATTCAGTAATAATCATGGGCATGCACAAATTATTGCATTATTGTTAGTCTGATCATTGTGCTGTGCAGGTATCTGCAACAGAATAATAAGTGCACAGTGGTAAACATTGGCAATATTTTTAAAGGCCCAATCATAATTTTAAGAATAACAAGACTTCATAATCATAGCTGTGCGCTGCGTTTTATACAATTGCTTAATTTGAGATCTGGGATATAATCGTGCATGAATGTGTTTGCCATACTGCATGTGTTTGCTTTTTATTCAGTCTTCTTGGATGCATTTTCCCAATGCCTCGTGTAATCTATGCTATGGCGGAGGATGGGTTGCTTTTCAAATGTCTAGCTCAAATCAATTCCAAAACGAAGACACCAATAATTGCTACTTTATCATCGGGTGCGGTGGCAGGTGAGAGAGAGTTAACTTTTATTAAGAAAAGGGGTGTGTGGGGGGTCTTTTTTCATCAAGGATTCTGAAAAAGTATGGAAACTTAGGTGGTTTTCTGTTTTGATTTACATGAAGATCAATAACTTGTTTGCAAATGTTTCCTATATTGGGTTTTTTTTGGCATAGGTTGGTTCTGCACTTTAGTGTGTCCAGTCTGTACTTGTATCTACCTGTCTAGAAAAATGCTTGTAATAACTCACATGGATTATGAATTTTTCTGTTCTAGTCTTCTGGGCTCTATGTTTCCTTTACCCCGAATTCTGTTTGCCATGGCCCGGGATGGCTTACTCTTTAGATTTCTTGCCAAACTGAGTAAGAGGCAGTCACCAGTTGCTGCCACACTGACCGCAGGGGTCATTTCTGGTAAGCTTTCCAAACATAGGCTTCTTCCATGTTGGACTTGAACGTTTTGTGCGCATGCATGGACTTACAAGGAGGGTCTGCTTGCTGTGCATGTAAGTTATGAACAAAATCACTGAGAAATGATGGTATGGGCATTGGGAAGACATCTGAAAATCGTGGTGGCAGCGGTTTCCTGAAATTCATTCGTAATCGACCCTTTGGGATTTTTTTTTTTTTTTTGCCATTTTGTCTTTTTAACCTTTAGGGCTTCTAACAAATGTGCAAAGGGTTATAATGGTTGTTCACTATATGTCAGGTATTAAATGCTTTTCAGATTGATTAGCACATAAAATTGTATTGCTGACACACAGAGTTTTAATTAAAGGACGATTACTTAATTTTGGACATATTGATTACTAGTAAAAGTAATTATGTAGTATTTCCTTGTTTGTCCAGGATTTAAGCTGAATATTGGTAAAGGAACATAGGGTTTTTTGAAAAGCTGAAGCTCACCCATTCTTAATTAAGCCTAAGGAATGTCCAAGATGATTGGTACTTGGCTGTGGTGGTCACTGCTGTTAGAATGGCAGATGGCCCACTTCCTGGGGCACCTCTGTTCTCTCGGTCGCTAAACCCCATGAGGAATCCGTTTCTCCTTTCGACCGTTTTGGTACCTAAATCATGTGCAAGAAACCCAGAAGCTTACTTTTTGGCATATCATGATATCCATGTCAAAAGCCTTTGGCCAGATTTTATTGCAGTAATTCTTAGATATTCTACAGATCAAGACAATGGCCTTAAAGGTCCTATTACAAGAAGCAAGAGAGAGAGTCTAGCAAGCTTCATGGATAAAATGATAAACTGTCTTGGCGTTGTAGAAATCCAAACCAAAAATGATAATTTTGTTGAGGCTTTAAATTATTGGGACATTAGGGTAGGGCATGCTCATGTTTAATTTTGTGTGAAATGGGTTGGGTTTTTTTTTTGTTTGATTTTTCAGAGACAGAAAGTATTTGTCTAAACAGCTTCACTTTGTATATATTTTCTCATGGATTTGGCACTTCATTAGGAAGCATTGGAAGGTTGAGTCACTTCTGATCTCTGCACCATAAATGAAAGTTGTACTAGATAATCTGCAGCCTATTTTATTATTAAACGGTGCCTTATGATATCGTAGTTCAAAATCATGGCAAAGGATCACATATTTTATTAACTCCATAAAAACTTTTTTCCAGTAGAACTTTGTCCAGTTATTTTCAGAATTTTATATATTATAGATATACTGTATATTCAGAATTTTAAAAAATTTATTCTTCCTTCAGGAAGAATTTAATTTGGCAGTATAACAAGATATTAAAATTAATAATTAAAAGGAGATCATTGTAACAAGAGGCTTTTTTCAGTATTTTTATTTTATACTCCCATCTTACTGTGCTTGATTTTTAATTAGATCAGATTGCTTGTAGGGATCTGTCCTTCTTAATTATGTCCTTCTGTCTTGGCCATCTTATTTTGGCTAGCTGTGATTCTTACCAGCACATTGAGGCCAATATTTTTTAAAGTAATCGAAGTAGATGGTTTTTAATAATCAAAGTAGTAGTTATCAATCTGGTAACTGAGAGGTTTTGAAGTTTTGTTAGCAGTTTATATGATCCAAAAAAACATCCCATTAATTGTGAGAAATATAATTTATATGCTTTGTTTGGCTTATCATTGGTACTAAAACAACCACCAAAATGTGAGTCAGTTACCAGCTTTACGGAACTTTATCCTAGGCCGTTCCCTTCACCACCCAAACAACTGAACCATAGCGGTGATGGCGTTTCTTTTTGACCTGAAGGCACTCGTGGACATGATGTCCATCGGCACTCTCCTGGCCTACTCTCTGGTCGCAGCCTGCGTCCTCATCCTCAGGTGAGCCGTCCTTGCCGTGAGAAGGTTCTGGAGGGTGTGGAAATAAAGGAAGTGAGAGCTCACACCCCTGCTTCCTAGGAGTTAGCCATCGCAGAGTGAGAGGCTATGGGCATACAGACGTCAATACAAAGTATTGGTCCTTAGCCAAGAATCAAATACAATTGATAATTAGCATGAGTTGGGTTGGCCCAATTCTATGTGAACGGCAGGTTTCCATCTATATATATAAAAGCCTAAGTGACCAAACAACTGAACAAACTGGTCAACGGGTCACTATAATGCACACTGACCACCAGGGGGGCAGATGCTCAATGCAGGAGTTGCCCCCTGGTGGTCAGTGAGCTACCACAGCCCACCTCCCATGGCCCCTCTCCCCGGCCTGAAGGCCAACCTCCTGTAGCCCCTCTCCCCGGCTAACCTCCCGCCACCCCGATCACTGGCCAGGCCGAGGGACCCCACCGGGCCTCTAGTAATGTATAAAGACACGTAAAAATACTATACTTCGCTGATACTTAACCAGAGTTCCTGTGCTGTTTTCGTGAACGTCTCCTTGGGGCAAAGATATTTTCATAATAATCATCCTGTTATCACAGTTGCCTCATTTGAAACTAAGTCTCTTCTGCATCTAATATATAACTTTCTAATTCAATGGCCATCAAAGGAAATTCAGAGTAGCCGCAGATGTCATATTGAGTGGGACTGTGTTCTGACTGCACAGGGGCTGCCCCAGCTGTGGCACTGTCCCGTGTCACACTGGGAGTCCCAGGGGCTTGTTTCCGTGGGACCGAGTGTCTCTCTGAGAATCACGACAGCCACGTTTGTCTGGGGACAGGTACCAGCCCAGCCTGTCGTACGAGCAGCCCAGATACTCTCCTGAGAAAGAAGCTCTGGAGTCGTGCGCCGGGGCGGACTCGGAAAGCGCGTCCCAGGTCACCATGCTGCAGGGACCTGGTTTCAGCCTGCAGACCCTCTTCAGCCCCTCGGCGCTGCCCACAAAGCAGTCGGCTTCTCTTGTGAGCTTCCTGGTAGGATTCCTGGGTAAGTCCTCCCCACTGTGTGCATTGGAAAGGCCCAGCAGGAGTGTGTGGATGGAGCAGGTGGGACATGAGAGAGGACGCATGGCCTCCTGTTACTCTAGACCTGATTAGCAACTTCCTGGAGCCCTGAAATGTCCATCTAGTGCAGTGGTTCTCAACCTTCCTAATGCTGCGACCCTTTAATACAGTTCCTCATATTGTGGTGACCCCCACCATAAAATTATTTTCCTTGCTACTTCATAACTGTAATTTTGCTACTGTTATGAATCGTAATGTAAATATCTGATAGGCAGGATGTATTTTCATTGTTACAAATTGAACATAATTACAGCATAGTGATTCATCACAAAAACAATATGTAATTATATATATGTTTTCCGATGGTCTTAGGGGACCCCTGTGAAAGGGTCATTTGACCCCCAAAGGGGTTGCGACCCACAGGTTGAGAACCGCTGATCTAGTGGGTCACTAGACTTGAGATCATCTTTTTATATTTTTATTTTTTTGTATATTTTATTGATTTCAGAGAGGAAGGGAGAGGGAGAGAGAGATAGAAACATCAGTGATGAGAGAGAATCATTGATCAGCTTCTGCACGCCCCCTATTGGGGATCAAGCCCACAACCCGGGCATATGCCTTGATGGGGAATTGAGCCGTGGCCTCCTGGTTCACAGGTTGATGCTCAAATTACTGAGCCATCCCAGCCAGGCGAGAGATCATCTTTATATTAGGATAAATTTCTCATATTTTGGTAGATGAAGCAGACAGGAAGCAATTCATAAGGTGAGAGAGTTAGGAGAAAATTGGTAAATTTCATTAGCTGTTAGGGAGCTTCCTGTGTGAAAGCATTTGGCCAGGTACACCTGCCAGTCATGGAACTGGGACCCAGGAGACTGGTAGGCAGTATAGAAAAGCCAGTCTGCTTACCCCCAGTTACGTAATCTTTCCTATTTTCAGCGACATTTGTTGAGCATCACTATGTGTCCAGAGCTCTGCTGGGCATTTGGGATAACAAGAGAGATGGGTGCACTCACCGGCTTTACAACACAGGATTGTTGGTGGCAAGCTAGGGGAGGTACAGGTTTCACTGAGAGCATATCGGAGGGACCCCTAATGCAGATTTGATGGTCAGAGACAGGGTCGGTGGGGGCGACGTCCCTCTCTGAAATAGGGAGAGAAGATGCAGGTCATACTGTATTTGTTTACATTAGCAATTAGTGTTTACAACAGCTGAAAGTGGGCAGGCTTGCCATTTCCCATTTGGACAAAGGGCAGTATCCACCCCTGACAATGGCCCGTCAGCCCACGTGGTAGAGTCTGAGACAGTAGCAGACGAGGTGGCACCTGGGCAGGAAAAGCAGGAGGCCGTGCTGGCAGGAGGTTGACTTTCTGAGGAGGAGACAGTCGCGAGTAAGCAAGTGGCGTTGCTTCAGTCAGTGAAATCCGCCCTTATTGCCCACGTGGAAAAGGAAGAGTCTGAGTATTTGGCCAAGTAGCTATGTAAAGAACTCGATATCTTATCAAAATGCACTGTGTGAACCGAGGCATCTGAAGGAAGCGTGGGTGCTGATTGTGTTGTGCGTACGCATCTCCTTTGCAGCCTTCCTCGTGTTGGGCCTGAGTATTCTGACCACGTACGGAGTCCAGGCCATCGCCAGGCAGGAAGCGTGGAGCCTGGCCCTCCTGGTGCTGTTTCTCGTCCTCTGCATTGCCATCGTCCTCACCATCTGGAGGCAGCCCCAGAATCAGCATAAAGTATCCTTCATGGTACGTGCGCACTCTCCCTTGGACGCCAGTTTTTCTGAGTTGTTTCTTTTTAAAAAACAAACCAAAACACTTCCGATGAAGTTACCCAATGAACAGGAGTGTCACAATTCTTTGAGGTGTTCCTTTTTGCCCACGTTATTCTGCCTACGTTGGCTGTGTTGCTGCCATTTTCGAAAACTTGAGGGTGCTCCGCTCACAACATTATACATAATAGTAAACAGATTTCTTGTCCAGTAATCTACAGTATCAAAGGAGTAATTAGAATATCTTGTTTTAGAAAGTCAGGACCCTGCCAGGAAGGTCATTCCCTCCAGAAACCCTTCCACTGCACATGAGATGATCCTGTCCCATTGGAACCAAGAGCAGGTTTCAGCTGGGAGTGTCCCCCGAGATGCTGTGTGTATCAGTTACAGAGGCGTGTCCTGTTGATGTCCCAGGGAAGCCTGCAACCCGAACTGAACTAAGCCTTAAAGCCAGTTGCATCTCGGCGATGGTGCAGGTGTTCGCAGGCTGGACCCCTCCTCTGTTGCTGGGCCGCAGGAAACAGTGTAACCTGGGATGCGCCCCTAGTGCTCTTCAGAAGAGTGCTTTTTTATTCAGGTTGTCCTTTTCGTAAAACTGTAAACTTAGAACGAAAGTGTGTACTCTGCCAAATTGGTCACCACCACGTCGGAATGAGCTTCCAAAAATCAGAGTGTATTTAAGAAGCTGTTTTCCCCCTCAGGTCCCATGCTTACCATTTCTGCCGGCGTTCAGCATCCTGGTGAACATTTACTTGATGGTCCAGCTGAGTGCGGAGACTTGGATCAGATTTAGCATTTGGATGGCGCTTGGTAGGTCTTTTAATATTCTGGCTTCCTCAGCCTGGCTCTCTCTTTCTGATTTCTGCACTGTGATTGGAGTAGTGCCTCGTTTCCCCCTTCCTGGAAATAAAGTCCCCCCCACCCCAATTTCTTCCTTTCCCAATTTTTAGAACATCTGAGTGTTTTGCTTTTCCACAGGTTTTCAGATGCCTTTTAAAAATTCAAATCTCCAAGTAACCCTGTAGAACCCGTAGGTTCTATTTCCTCCAACTTGATAGATAAGAAAAATGAAGCCCCAAAATGTCAAAGAATCTATCTAATTTACAAATGGCAGCCAAAGACTCTGATCCCAAAGTGAGCCAGTGGATTTTTGGAGACATTTTGAATGAGCTAATAGCAAAACATCCATACACACACATGTATATTGTGTGTGTGTGTGTAAATATTTTTTCTGATATCTACATTTCTTATTATTAGAGCCTTGTAGGGGATTTAACATTAAATAACACAAGTAAGCTTATTTATATCTATACCGCTTTTGCTTTTCATTTTGACTTCTTCAATTTCCTGTGTGAAGGTTGAGGTAGAAATTATGAGTTTACGTTTGTTGTAACTCAAACACTGAGCACCGACCACCTTCAAAATGTGAGCTGAAGTAGTGAGAAATGAGAGGTAAATTTGCATTGGTTTTGGTGGCCCGAGGAGTTTGGGTTTATGCTTTTTGGCAGTCCTCCCATTGGCTCAATAAGAATGAATGTAACTCACTTTGGTGTATGTATGTATGTGTTTGCTTTGGCTGTAAATTAACTTATTTTCAGTGTCAGCCACCAATCCCACTTGAGTTGCTGGGAGAATGAACCTCAGTCCGTTTTGCCCATCCCCCCACACCCACACTCCTACACTTGATCTTGGATGAAGGCATGAATTACAGAGGCAGATTCTCTAGATTTGAATCCAGCTCTGCCACTGATTATCTGGGTGACCTAGTTTTGTGCCTCAGTTTCCGTAAAATGGTGATGGTAGTTACCTTTATCTGAGGACAGGGAGGGCTGGATCTTTAGACCGCTAAGGACAGAAGAGGAAATAGAATCATTCCTGATCATTGGACATGCCAAAATGTTAATTGGTAGCCTACTTCCCATAATGTTAAAGCGGAAAATTATAATGCATTTCACATCAACCCAAAACTCTCAACCCTTAAAAACAACAACATGAAAGTCCAGCAAAATGTCCATATAGGGAAGTAAGAAACTATTTTTTGAGGATCCTTAAAACATTTTCTTCTAATCCCCGGCAGCACGGCTGTTAACAAACACTTGCTTTGGACACAGAATTTGGCCTTTCCTGGTGACACAGAGAGTAGGCAAAGGCCCTGTTGAGCTTGTATTAAATTGTCCGTGTTCCAACAGTCGTTTTCTGACGCACCTAAAACGCTGATATTTTGTTCTCTGAAAGGTTTCCTGATTTACTTCACTTACGGCATTCGACACAGCCTGGAGGGGAATTCAAGAGACGAAGATGATGATGAAGACTCGTATTCAGACAACATTAACGCAGCCACCAAAGAAAAAGCTGCCATTCAAGCACACGACCATCACCAAAGAAACCTCAGTTTACCTTTCATACTCAATGAAAAGACGAGCGAATGCTAACGCTTGTAGGAGCCGAACAGGTCATAGTCTTAATGTATGTATCCTACACTGAGCAAACCGGCAGGATGTCATCATCATGCTAACTTGTCATGGGTTTGCTGCAGACATAGTTCACCCTAATTTATACTCCCCTGGACAGCACCTCCTCAGGTGGTGGATTACACCTGGGGAAACCTGAGCTCTCTCCTAGTGCTATCTCCCAGCGTGTGTGCATGTGTGTCTGTGTTGGTAGAAGTTGTTGGTGTTTTACTGCTATTGCTTTCCATTTTTCCAGTGTTTGTCATGATTTGGGGTCATATGGTACACATACTGAAATGGAGGCAATCACTGAATCAAAGAGTGTTTTGTATGTGCGTGGTATTGTCAGGGAAGTGACTGTTGCTTGTCCTTGTTAGATTTCATCAATGTCAACTTAGAACAGGCCACAGATGCAGTTCCTCATCTGGGAGTCTGTCATTGGTCAGGAGTAAGAGGAGGCGGTAAGACATGAGCCTTTTCTATAACTTACAAATGCCAAATTACAAATTACTTTTAATTCCATCCTTGTTCTAAAAGTCACTTAAAATAAGCCATTAGCATCTCCCAGATCACACAGCTGGTGGAATGGTTCATACTTTTCCCCATTATTTAAAAACTAATCAGATAAAGAATTCACTCCTCTCTTTCTACCATTATTTTGTCTTGTCCTGGAGATGAGGGCTACAGTAGCAAATTCTATCTTTACTACATGCAAAAGAGGAAAAAATGAAGGGATGAAAGAAAAAAAATTCCTCTGTTCTAATTTTAAAGTGCCTATTCAGATATTAAAGAGCGTTTGGCTCAATTCAAGGCATTCAGATCTGATTTGGCTGTTTCTTTTGGAAACATTTAGGGATGTTTTTCATCCCCCACCCCATAGTAGTTTAGCACTTTTAATTTCATTTATTTTTAAATGGTCACACTAAAGCTATTCATACAAGCTCCAGTATTCTATCAGTGGTTGGCCAATAAAATATTTTGGTTAAATACATGATTGTTTAAAACTTTAAGTTAAAAAATTAACCAAATTGAAGCTATAGAAGACAGTAACCTTTCTATGAGTAAATAATTTGTTTTTTGTAAGATTCTCTAAATACTATATTTTACTTTGTAGGGTTCTCTCATGATAGACTATTTATCTGCAGTGTGATTTGCTTCTCATGAATTGTTTTTCTTACAAATCATTAAATGGTCGACCAGTTGAGAGCAAAGGCTCAATACATGTATAGCTGGGTTGCATTCCCGGGACAAGCGCTGTCCAGCACACCAGATGGCCAGCCTCATCCAGAAACAAGGAAACGTTTCTGACAGCCCTTCTAAGAGATCAGTTATTGTATTGATGCTATTAAAAAGCCAGTCGTGATCGAATTGTCTAACCCTGACTTTGTTGTGGTTAAATATCAAACCAGCGGGTAGAAAGCCTGGGTTCTGGGCTGCTAGACTCCTGGCGTCCCTGACATAGAACTCAGTGCTGACATTCCACAATTCCCGGGTGTTCATGGCAAAATCTGCGGCTGAGAATTCTCTTCCAAGCTGCGTGTTTCCCTGGAAAGGCAGGTGGTAGAGGAGACTTGTACGGACTGTAGCGATGCTCGGAGACCTTTGCTATCGGAGCCGTGAGAACCCCTTATACCCCAGGATCAATCTAGAATAGGCCCTTCGCACAGAGAACGTGAGGTACTGCTTATATGAATATTTAACTCTTTTGTTGTAACGAAATCAAGAAATCTGTTTAGAATGTGATAGGCAGCTAAAACTGTTATGCCCCACGTGTTCATTTACGAGCAGAATTCAGTTAAAAATTATTTTTCCACTTTGAAACACTTTGCAAACACAAATGTCTATGTAGAGATGCTTTGTCAGTGACTGTGTGTTTTTTTTTCCTTCGAAGACTCAAATGTGTATCTGTATGTGCGAGGGTGTATATATTATGTATATGTATATGTATGTCTGCGTATTTCAAATGTGAGTGTAAAAGTCAGTTGGGTTTATGTTGGGCTTTGGAAAGAATACCTTTGTGTGGATAAAAAAAAAACCCAACTGATGTAGAGAAAATATGATGTTTTGTATTGATGGGTAGGTATGCTTATATACAATGTTTAGGTTTTAAAGTATTTTGAAATGCACAGTGATTTTATATATATGCTATTTTCTATAGATAGATTCTTAAGAAAGCTATATTTATAATGTTTCTAAGACGAAATCACTAAACTCTAGTTCATTGTAACAGGTGCTTTCTAATCTGAAATGGAGGAGGGTAGGCACCTTAGGGTGCTTCTGTTTACTTGTCTCTGTGGTACCTTTTCTGCATCTCTGTCCTGGTACATCTAGGAAAAGCTGGTACTGCCAGTGCTGGTACCACCTCCCTGTTCCTCCACTTGCACTAGAACCTTTTGAACAAAATGTTGTTTTTCCTTTCCTAGGATCACCCAAGTGTGTTTTGTAGATTTCACTAGTCGTTAATCACACTTATGTGAAATCCTCTCCAGAAATTAAAAAGTACATATACACATCCTCTTAACTGGGAGTGCCTAAAAACAGCTCACATTACTTTCCTTTTTTTTTTTTTTTTTTGCACTAGTAAATATGTTCTCGATATTTTCAGTGAGAAACTTCTTCACTGAAAATATTTGTATACTCTTTTAAAAGAGAAGATGGTTTGTGAACGGCCACGTAAAGGTCATTCCTACCCTACATTTAACAAGGTGGCTATGCAGATTCAAGTTTAAAAATTATTTATGAGAAAACTTATATTAGAGCTTTTGATGTATACTGAAATGTAGATCATTGCATAGTCACATTTTCCCCAGAGACAAATATCAGGATAAACTAAGACCAGAACATCATATATATATATATCTTGACTATTACCAGCCATAGTTGATGTAACATACTCATTTCAGAATTGTCTTCCTTCAAAAGACAAGAGCCTCTTAATTTTCCTGGGGAAAAAAAGATTTTAAATATTAGCCAAAATATTATTGAAGTCCTGGGAATTTGCAGGTAGTTGTTACAATATTTTGAATTCGAATCTATACTCCTCAAGTTGTTTTCTCCACGTATTTGAATGCTTAGCAAGGAGACTAAGGGACAGGGATCACCCTCCACTGCTGAGAATGCCGCAGGGAGCAGGTTGGCCTTATCTTCTTGCCTCTTAAATCGGGGCCAGATTCCGAGATTACAAACCACGTGATAAGGTAGTGCCCGGTCCCACCCCTCCCTTGCCTGTGCGGTTGCTCACAGCGTTCTCTGCCTGATTTCTCCTGATGTGCTTCAAGTTAACACCAGCAGTACGGTTTCCACAGAATGTTAAAGGATTGGATTGCACATCATGGAAGTATGAAAATTAACAAGATTAGTGTGGATTTGAGTTTTTACTAGTGCCAAAATACAATAGTGCCTTCTCTGTATATTTCTACTTTCCTCCTCTAACATGTCCTAACCCATCCAGGGGAAATGTACCAAAGTTCAGGTAGTGCATGATGCCAGCACAGGTCATTTTTAATGTAGATTTGGAAATAAGGTTGCTTGCCTTTGTTGTTTAGCTGTGTTGGGTTTTTGTGTTTTTTCCCCCTCCTTGTATAATTATGTTTAAACATTTTTAAATGGCTTTCTGTGTTCTGGGTTTTAAGAGGCCTTCTCTGTTATTGTTGTGGTTGTCGGTTTGGTTGTCGGTTTTTGTAACATTCATTATTGTTTATATATGTACACAGTTTAGTCTTACTGATTTCAAATGCATGGACTGGCTATGGCTCAACCCAGCTGGCAACCCTATTTGCTGAGAGCACTCTACTTAGCTTTTATTCACTATGGCTGGAGCCACGGCCACAATCTCTGGCCTTAAGGAGCCGTCACTGGCCACTGGGGCCCCGTGGGGATCATAAACCAGGACCCTGGGCTGGTTCCAGGATCATGCAGCCTGCAAAGTATGGGCGTCCGTAGCTACCTGTTGGGTGGGGTCTTGGCGTGTCAGGGGAGGATATGAAGTAAAAGACTTCACATGAAAGTAAGGTAGTTTGCGGTCCACAATATCAGTTCCAAATACCCCACGAGTGCATCAAGGTAAATGATCAGGACGAAGGAACCTCTGTGTCTCACGGGAGGGATGGCTGCTTCCTGGCACTGGCACCATAGAGCGTGGCTTACTGCAATCCCTGGACTGCCACTGACAGCCTTGGGTGGAACTGCGTGGGCCAAGGTTCGGTTGATGAAGCACCTTGTATGACCAACAGGGTGGTGCCTCTGGCCCATGCCTGGTGACAGGCTCTTCATCTTTGTGTCCACCAGGGGTGCCCAGTTGTTCTATTGCTTTATCTTGTTACCATTGTACTCAATAGAAACTGTAGATAGGGCCCCAAACCCTACAGAAATTCCGTGTCTGTCAAAACCAACAGATACATCAGATTTGTGGGAATGTAAAGATGTGTTTGTTGAGTAGGTGATTTTAAATTTAAATGTTTTTAATGATAATCAGCGTTCCTTTTTACTTATGAAGTTGGATTATTTTTTAGAATTTGTAATAAATGAAACTGTTGCTGCTTTACCACTGTAAAATAGGCTTTCTAATGTGACCATGTATTTTTTAAATAAATTTTAATACATCTTGTAATAAAATGTCGTATGCATGTGTATCACACAAGCCGAAGTCTACATTTCACACTTACCTAATTTAAAATGCATCATATATACATATATACACACACACACACACACATACATGTATACATATACACAATTATCTTAAATATCATGTATCATATCATATATATCCTGCACGCCCCCTACTGGGGATTGAGCCTGCAACCTGGGCATGTGCCCCTGACTGGAACCAAACCAGGATCCTTCAGTCTGCAGGCTGATGCCTCATCCACTGAGCCAAACCAGCCAGGGCAAAAAAAAAAAAAAAATGCTTTTTAAAAAAAATTTGGGAATCTTTAAAGCTCAGAAATATAATACAATCTAAGTTGAAATAATGACATTGTTAATACTACTAAGTGGGAAGCCGAGGGCTTAGTGTGTGACTAACCAAGTCCTATCAGATAAAAGACATGCCTTCACATATGCTCAATCCTCATGGCACCTTCCAGAAAAGATCAGTTGCTCCTGAAGCATACCACCCCAGGACCACTCGAGACCCACCACTGCCCTTTAATGGGCCAATCGCTCTGACATTGCTTTTGTGTGTGAGAAGCTCCTCAGTGTTTCCCTGACCAAATCATAGCCTTTAATCGGCGATCGGTTCTCTGTAACTAAGCACAGTTTTACAGTGTAGTGAATGAATACTTACCGACTTCAACCCTAGTTGCCCTCTTGGAGGGAGGAGTCAAAGGGCTTTCTGGCAATAGCTCAAGTTATCTCGAAAATCTCTTGAATTAGCTTGTTTAATTTTGACATGTCTTTGTGTATATACTGAATTGCTATTCATTCTAATAGGTTGGAGGGAACGCCATGTTGATTTAAAAACTTTAAGATCAATTAAGCCAGCATTGAAAACCAAGCTGAAACAGCAAAGTATTTGCCAAGGAGGAGCTGAAAACCTCCTTTATCTAACTGTTGGCTTGATGCGGACTGTGACTAGGTTTTGTTGTACCACCTCTGCTTTGGTACCATGGGATCATGTGAGAAAAAAAAAAGTGATGCCCCAGGAGCTGTGTCTGGGCGCTGGGGCCAGCCAGGAACTCCCCCAAACAAGACTCCTTCTCCTTAGTGTTCTTTAAAGAAGGCCACAGGCCAAGGGCTCAAGGCCCACGGAATGCTGACTGTGCTGACGAGTACCCACCTGTCTGTGTGGACAGAGTGATTCGTTTCATTCATCCCAGAAAATATCTCAAAAAAAATTCTCAGAGACATCCAAAACTCACCCATTATCTCAGAGGGTCAACATATGGGGAAACTAGAAATAAGCTCAGCTCTGTGCTGATTTACTTACCTAAAACTTTCTAGTAACTGATTCATAGCCAACTCTGAAATACTTGGAGGTACCAGCCATTACAGATGTCACAGATCCTGGGTTAAGAATCCTCGCGACTCTCTATGAAGGTGGGAGTAGTCAGCATGAGGAGGAAAACACAGGACAGGTGACACTACCAGGAGTATGATACAACCCAGCTGGGCTGCTATCTCCGCCATAGGGAACACGCTCATTTCTGGGCTCCGGGTTCCTTAATCCACCGGTACTGCAGCCCTGCTGTGATCCCGATGGTGTTGTGATCCCCATGGCTGGGTCTCCAGGTCTCCATTATCTTCCCCAACCTGCTCACGGATGCCTGACACGTCTTCATGCAAAGACGGATGATAGCAATCAGACCTGAAGTCCAATGTTCTTGAAACTGAAACACTGACTTCAATTGGCATTAAGTTGCAAATGACCAAGAGAAGATGCTTTTCAAAAAGTGAGCATTTAAAAAGCAAGTAAACAGGTAAAGCAAATAGGCACAGATAGTTAAAGGAGGAAGGAAGGACCAGTGAGTAAAGAAACATCAAAGAAAGGAGAGGATGGAGGTTTTCCATCTTTTGCATTTTGGCTTAGAGTTGTCCCTCTTCCCCGAGGCATGAGAGCCGTGACTAATGGACAGCTGATACATCAGTACAGTGTGCTATCTCTGCTCCCAACCCTGGACGGCGTTCACGTCTCTCTTCCATCTGCTGATTTCTGTTCCTCCCTCCACCACTCTCCTCTCCTCTCCAACTCTGCATTTGCTAAGTCAATGCCTGGGGCCGCTGGCTGAGCTCTCAGAGGAAGGTGCACAGTCGCTCCGAGGATGCTGTGCCCTCCTGAGTGTGACAGTGCTTCCCTGGACACTGTTTTTATTTTACTTTATTTTTATTTTTAAATATATTTTTTTAAGTTGAGTTCAGAGAGGAAGGGAGAGGGAGAGAGAGAGAGAAACATCAATGATGAGAGAGAATCATGGATCGGCTGCCTTCTGCACACCCCACTACTGAGGATCAAGCCCACAACCTGGGCATGTGCCCTGACGGGGAATCAAACCGTGATCTCCTGGTTCACAGGTTGATGCTTAACCACTGAGCCACTCCAGCCTGGCTGGACAGTTTTTAAGAGGCTGTTTCTGTTTTTTCAGCCTCCTCTACTCCCACAGGAAGTAGCTGATGATTCAGGGAGGCTTGGAACTCGATTGGTGCCAAGCCTGAGCCACCCTGTGTGTCCTGAGGTCAGGGGTGAGTGGATCATAAACACTAAAAGCTAATTAACGTAAGGGTGAGGTGGAGGGAGCAGACAGACAACAGCTCATAAGGAAAGGAAACATGGATTTGCAGGTAATATGGTCATTTATCTAAAAACCCAAGACATTAACTAAAAACTATATGGACAACAGTATGGTGGTTACCAGAAAGGAAGGTGGGAGGTTGTAAAAGGTCAAGGGGTCAAATATCCTTATCTAATAAAAGAGAAACATGGTAATTGGCGTACAACTGCTACCCTTCCCATTGGCTAATCAGCAAGATATGCAAATTAACTTCCAGCCAAGATGGCGGCCAGCAGCCAGGCAGCTGATGCGAACAGAGAGGCTTGCTTGCTTCAGTGACGGAGAACTCCAACGTTCCCTGCCTGCCTTGCCGGCCTCTCAGCTGCAACTCTCAGCAACTATGTTGCCAATAAAGAAGCTAAAAAAACCCCAGAAACCTGCTTTACTCACGGGAGCTTCAGCCAGCGGGACCACAACATTGTATCAAATACAGATGGTAAACAAACCAGAAACCTCTTTTCAGCAGCGGAGGCCTCAGAGCTAAAGCTGGCCCAGAATAAAAAAAAAGAAAAAAGAAAAAAAGGAGCGGTTGGGAACTTCCATCACCCGTCAGCCTGAAAATGGCCCTCAGCCCCTCAGCCAGACTGGCCAGGCACCCCAGTGGGGACTCCCACCCTGATCCTGTACACCCTTCAGGGCAAACCAGCCAGCCCTCACCCGTGCACCAGGCCTCTATTCTATATAGTAAAAGGGTAATATGCCTCCCGGCACCGGGATCAGCGTG